CTTGGGCTGGTAACGTCAGCAAATCAGCTCCTCGGTTCCCTTCTGCAATAAAACCAGGTAGAGAAGCGTGTGAGCCACACAGAAACTTGGGGACCCCCCCGAATTCATGCAACATCCGTGCCTGAATTCCTAGGGCCCCCTCCTTCTGAACATCACCCCCTGGATGCCCGGATCCCCTTCTCCTTGGGAACCCCCAGGAAACTGGGGACACCCACACACACATTTTTCGGACCCTCCCGAGTCGCATGCAGCGGGGGGGGGGGGGGGGGGGGGGCGGGGGCTGGCAGGGCTGATCCACAGGGCACTGCAAGCCTCACGATGCCCCAATGGCTAGAGAGACCCATGGGGACCCCTGAGCCCCCGCACAGAGACCATAGTCACGCATCTGCAGCAGGGACAGCCCAGGCTGAAGGAGGGGGACAACAACCCACAACACCCACGCACAGCAGGCACCCACCACAGACCAGGGTAGACGTCCTGGCGTCACCGGCCTGGCACACTGCTGGGGTGTGGTACAAGCCGGGATTGGCACGCAGGGGCCACCGCCAGCCCGGGGGGAGGCTCTGAGCGGCACCACGGTGGTCAGCAGGCATCACATGAGCCGGGGCCGTGCTGCCGGGAGCTCCCAAACAAACACCCTTTGTCTGGGAGACGGTTTGTTTGAGCCAGCGGCACCCAGGATGGAGTCCCCGCCAGCGCGGCCACCATCGGCCCCGGTGTGACCCGCACCGCGCGGAGTGGCTGCCAGGGCTGTGCCCGGGGTGGGAGGCAGCGCAGGATCCCCGAGCACGAGGCCACTGCCGCCGCTGGATCCGCTGCCCCGTAGGGTTATGTCAGCCTGTGTGCAGCCCAGGAATTTGGCGGTGGCAGCGGGATGGAGGCAGGTGGGGAGCGACAGCCGAGCCCTGGGCTGGGAGCTGCCCCCCTGCCCGCCATGGTGCCCCATGCCCCGGCCCGGCATGACCTGCCAGCGCAGTGCCAGCCCAGCCCGACCCCACGGCAGGACCCCGGGCGAAGGCTGTGGGTTCGGGGAGCCGGTGGGGCCGGCTGGGCAGGAGCGTGCCGGGGCAGGCCGGGCACTGCCGCAGTGGGGAGAGGCACCCCAGCACCCATGGGCACAGCCACAGCGCTCGGTACCTGGGGACCTGGCACCGTGCTGGATGGGTGCAGTGAGTGGGCAGTGCTCAGCCCCCAGCCCCACGCTGGGGGAGGTGCAATGAGTGCTCGGTGCTCAGCGCCCACTCTCCCCCTCCCCACCCAGCCGTGCACAACCTGTTTTTCCAGCTCCTCAGTTGAAGGAACGCAGCCTCCAGCCCTCCCCTCATGGGGCTCGGAGCCAGGGGGCCCCTCTCCTCTCCAGGAGTGGTGGAGCGGGAGGTGAGGAGAGCTGGGAGGGGTCCCTTGGGGGGGATTCCCCCTTTCCCGACCCCCGCCACCACCCATGGGGTGCTGGGACAGCCAGACCCCATTGCATTACCAGGCCGTTGGCCAGGGCAGGGGGATGAGACCCCCCCATTGGGATGGGGACCAGGGCAGCCCCCCCATTTAATATCCCACAGTGTCTCGCCGGGGCTGGGCACGGGCTGACTCACGGGCAGAGCTGGGTGCCACCACCCCAGCGGTGACCGTTCTGCGTGGGTTGTGTAAGTGTGGCCGTGCGGAGGCGGAAGCTGGTGGCGGTGGTGGCGGGGTGGGGTTGGGGGGGGTTGGGG